GGGGTGGGAGAGCAGGCTTTAGACAGGTGGCAGAAGAACTGGTTGGAAGCCAGCAGGTTTGGGGGAAGATGCTTGTCCCTGTCACCTGGGGAGTCTGAAAGGCCACCTGAGCATGCAAGCCAGTGACTCCCCTGGAAGGGGTGTGGTTTGGGAGGAAGGTACATAGTTGGTTCCATTTCCCATCCTGAGTGAGGCTGTGATTTATCAGACATGTTCAGAAAACATCCTCTGTATTGAAAATGATGGTGATGAACAATTGTGCCTCCAGTGAATCCTGGAGGAGGGATTTTTCTCCCTCAGGAGACAGGTGAAAGGGCTGTGCAGCGTGTGCACCTTGCTCCCAGCAGAAGGTTTCTCTTCCCAGAGGTGCAAGAAAATTCTCTTAGAAATTGTAGACACGCACAAAAATTACGCCATGAAGTAGGAAGGAAAAAAAAATTAAAGAGCAACACAAAGAAGGAAAGGAAAAATGCCAACAACCCGCCCTGTGCCCAGGATCAAAGCTGGGAGCCGTTTGGGAGCCCTTGGACAGGAATATTCCCTGGTTCCTCTGGCCAAGCCACTGCTGTGAAAGGCTGCTTTGTTCCTGAGGCCTCAGCCTTGCTTTTCCTGCTGTGGACTTTGCTCCCACTGCTGGCTGGGGAGGAGAGATTGGCAGGTGAGATTTGCAGGTGAGATTGGCAGGTGAGATTTGCAGGTGGGATTGGCAGGTGGGATTTGCAGGTGGGATGGGGCAGGTGAGGTGGGGCAGGTGGGATTTGCAGGTGAGATTTGCAGGTGAGGCCGGGCAGGTGCTGGGACCAGGGACACACCAGCTCTGCCACAGCGGCAGCGCTTTGATGGGGGCAGAGGGGCAGGAGGAGAAGCCCCAGCTGCTCCTCTCCCCGCCCGACACTGAGGGCAGGTATAAAACACCCAGAGCTATTTATCCCTTGGGTGATGTTCATCCAAGTGCCCTTGCACTCCTCACCCTCTCTTCTACCCTGATTCCTGCATTCTCCTCAGGTCTTCACAAACTTTAGGCCAAATTAAGACTTGCCTTTTTTTTTTTATTTTTAAATGACCTGGCTTGGTGTTGAACTGCACCATTACATGACACTGGAATTCCCCTTCCACAGCTTCTTCTAGGTTAGGAGGCCTCACCACCTCTGTCTGCACTGCTGGGATAGTTGGGTTGGCCAAAATTCCCCTTGCCAGAAGTAAGGAGAAGCAAGGTCCCACATCCTCTAGGTCTCCAGTCCCCAGGTTCCTCCGTCCCCAGCTGCCACATCTCAAGAGCGGGAGGGGCTCTGAGGCTGACTAAGCCCCTTGAACTCGGAGGTGTCTCACACCTGAGGCCTCCCAGGAGCCGGAGGTGGTGACACTGCCAGCTTTCTGTGGGTCTAACGTGGGGCAGGAAGGGCGGCTCTGGCCAGAGCCCAGCCCGGAAAGCTCGGCCGGGCCCGAGCGCAGCCCCGAGCGCGCTGGGGAAAGCTGCCCGGAACAGATCGGCCCTGGGCAAAAATGGGAACTTGTGCTGCCGATGAAAAGTGCTTTCTTTGGGTAGGATGTTTGTGTTTCCTTTGGCAGAGCGGCCGCGGGAGCGTGCACAGCACCTGCCCAGGGCGGCTGGCTCTGCTCTCAGGGCACCCATCCTGCCCCTTCCCTTGAAATTGTGAGCAAAGGGAAAGTTTGGGAAAGGCTCCAGCCACAGCTCTGCTGAAGCAGGCGTGTGACTATCGAATGCCTCTCCTGGGCGCAGACCTGGGGCAGCAGCTGGGAAAGTTGGGATCTTGCCCAGATCTTGCTCCCTGCAGGAGCACGGGGAAGGGTTTTTTGGATGGAGGGGCACATCCTGGCCCTTGCCCTCCTGGCATCCTAGTCTGCCTGAAGAGGCTTCACCATGGGACATGCCTTTGCTTGCCCCTGAGGCCTTGTGACAGCTCAAGCTCCTCTTCCTGCTCCTTATCCCTCTTCTGGGAACCAGGCCCTGAGTTGCTGTGGTTTGCATCAGGGCTGGGAGGCTGAGCCAGCTGGACGTAAGGAGCTGCCTCCTCCTGCTCCAAGGGAGGGGTGAAGGCTTTGCCCCTTGTCCAGGGATATGGCTTGGGTCTGGTGGGGCCAGGGAAGGGAAGGGCTCTGGGCAGGTGGCTGTGCACAGGAGAGCTGGAGCCTGGGGGAACCCACACTGGTTTTTGCCCTGAAACCCACCAGTGACTGGGCAGAGGTGGCCAAGGTGTTTCTCAGTAGCCACCACCACCGCCAAGGATGGGTTTGGAGGCAGGAGAGTGGTCAACAACCCAGGCTGGTTCTCTGCAGCCTTTGTTTTTTCCTCCACCACACCTTCTGCCCAGGGAGCACAGAGACATCATGCAGAGGGTGCCCTGGCATTTTTCCCCCTACCCATCACTTCTTTTCAAAGCCAATTGGATCTCAGCAAGAAAGATTTGCCATCAGAAAGAAAGCAGTCAAGAGGAAATTTGGAGAAAATAGTAGCCAGGGAAATGGCTTATGTTGGTCAGAATGAAGCCTCTGTCCTTCCAACCCTTCTGGGCTCATGGATGACACTGATATAGAAAGGCTAATGCTGGTGTGAGACTGTGCCAGCTCAACAAAAATCAATGTGGGATGGTTTTTTCCCCCTTGAAAGTATTTTCCAGAGTCAAATTTTGTACGTTACCATTTTGTTCCAATTTGGATGAAGCCTGACAAGCAAGATGATGAGATTTCCCATGAAATGGGGATTCTGGGTCTCTGGCCAACCCTAATCCACCAGTTCATTTGAAAGCTGCCGACTGCTGCTCCAAGCTTGGACTTGATGCTCCAAGGAGGGAAATGCTGCGTCTCATGTCTCACAGGGATGAACTGTGGGATTCAGGCAGCTCCCTTTATCTTGGGTACCTTCACATTCATCCCAACCCCAACCCCAGTGGGACTGGTGTGAGAAGCAGCTGCCCTGACTGCATTTCCAGACTCAGGTGCTTCATTCATGGCAGAGGCACCTGATGGATCCCACATTCCAGCTGTTGCAGTGGGATGGAGGGGACAAGCAACCACATCCCTCATGGATTTTGGGCTGCTCGAGGTGCTGTGCAGCACACTCAGCACCCTGCCCTTTGCTGATGACTCTGGTACTCAGAGCTATGACTGTGGCTGTGTTGCTCCTGCTGCCCAGCAACACAGTGTCTGTTAAACTAAACTATTAGACTAAAATAAGTCTGTTTTGAGAGATGAAACCAAAGAGGAAAAGTGGAGCAGCTTCATTGCTGCAGCAAGTCCCAGGTTTCAAACCAAACCCTGATCTCTTACATCAAGCATTTTGGCTGGGGAGGATGGGCTTTTGGAAGCGTTTGGGATTTTCCTGACAGATTTTTTTTTTCCCATGGGCAAGATCCTCACATGAATCTCCCACTACAGTGGGTTCCTACATGGAGGGGAAGAGAAATCCCATGAAAGCAGCCTGGGGACTTCTGTCCATCCATCCTGCAGCCCTGCCCTATGGTGCCACACTTGGGGGTGCCAAGCCATTGCCTGCCCCTGGGAAGGGTCCTGTGTGTGAGTGGGGAGGAACCCAGGGGATTTGCAGGAAGCTCTGTGGAATTGCTGAGGATGGAAAAATCCCCAGGATCTGCCCTTTCTCTGAGAAGACATCTGAGCTGGGAGGTGTTTTTCTTTCCATCCAGTCAGCAAGGCTGCTTGGAAATTTCCTACACCGGCTCCGGCTGTGATGTTTTCATAACACAACGAGCAGCCTGGCAAAGCCCTGAAAAACTACTCGCCAATTAGTGACTTACATATTTCCTGCAATTCTACCTCATTAGCCCTTATTAAAAATAAATAAATTAAATAATAATAAAGAAGAGCCAGGCCCCTGGAGCACCTTGCAGAGTCCTCTGTTCCTTGTTGTTTCCCTATCGCTCTCTTCTTGCCTGGGGGTGCCAATGCAGTGAACACTGGCCCACAGAGCCCATGGCTCGTCCCTTGGGTACCACGTGGCTGCTGCTGGTCCAGGTGATGTCTCTGAGGGGCTGCATCCCTCCAGTGCTGTGGGCAGGACAGCAGGGAGCACCCTAAGGTGCTGTGATGGGGTGAGCTCCTTGCTGGGCATCGTGACACACGCCTGAGTGAGCCCTCAGGGTCCATTTGGGTGCTCCCAAGTCCCCTGCACCATGATCAGGGACTTTTCTGCCCAGTTGGGTGCTCCCTGCCTGCTGGTGGAGGGGCCTCTGGTGCGGGTGATGGAGGGAATGCTGACTCAGCAGCTGAAAAGGCTTACTCGGCCCTGTGAAAACTGCTGATGCAGCATTTAAAAAAAAAAAAATGGTTGACTCAGGAGGTTGGAAAAATGTTGCTCGTTAGTCTGCAAAAAGGTTGACTCATGGGGCTGCAAAAACACTGAGCCACACACAGCCACAGCCACTGCCCCTAAATTTCTGAGGATGCTAGGGTGGCATCCCATCTGACTGCCAAGTTTAAGGGGCTCTACATCCCCCCAGGTCTGCCCTCCTGCCATCACCTGTGTTTGTAATGACAGAGGATCAGCAACACCCCCAAACTCACTTATTTTTCAGTGGTTCCAATGCCTGGTGCTCATGAAGGAATTGGGTAAGAAAACAGTGATCTCCCAAACACCTGCAAAATGTAGGTGAGTGGATGCAGCTGAGCCACGTCTTTCCTAGGTCTGCTCAAGTGGTGCATCCCCTCCTCTCCCCTCAGCACCAACACTGGCATCACCAAACGTGGCTTTCCCTGCTGCCAGAGGAAGCAGTGAGCCATGCAGGAACACTGCTGGTGGCTTCTGCTCCCTCAGAGGACGCTGTGAAAGGAACACAGGGAAGGCTCCATTAAGGAGTGCACGTGTGCTACGTGTATTCCTCCCTCCTCCCAGCCCCAGGAGGGGCTTTCTCTCCAGCCTAGAGGAAATCAGACCTCTGCAAGTCTTTTTTTTTAAAGCTTCTCTTAAAGATGATGCCCATGGCCTTGGCTGGGAGACAGACACAGCTACACCAAGGCAGCCCAACCACGCTGCAGTTCGGAATTTATTAGAAACAGCTGTCAGTACATCCTTCTAAAACATTACATGTCAATGTGCTTTATTGCAATTTTTTTTATTGCATTTTTTTTTTGATCTAGAGCAAGTAGGCCCAGGATGCTTAGTGTCTGGGATTTAAAAGCCCAACCATCTAGTAAAAGAAAGTACAGCAAAATTGTAACACACCCGGTGACAAGTACAGTGTTGCATTACTGAGCTAGAAACTACAGGATGACTTGTCAGAAAACACTAACATACACTTGGTTTCCTTATGAAGCAGTTTGTTTCTTTTCTTTAAAAGTTAAACTACATGAATTCCTTTTTTTTTTTTCTTTTCTTCCCCCCACCCCCCTCCCCGACTACACCATAAACGACAGAAGAACAGATTTTACACAAATAACAAACAAGAGTACCAAAGTTACATGCTGGAATTCATCTGGAAAACAAAATAATTCAATAGCTTCTGGAGAAGCAGGTTCTTAACAGATGCAGTTTCCCTTAAAGAAAAAAAGAAGTCAAAGAAAAGCAGAAACATTGATGCAAAGGTTGTACAAAGGAGTGTGCTGTTATTTCAGCCCTCGACACAAGATCAAACACCCACTCATGCTTTACATTGGACCACACCTTGTACAAAGAGTCCACTCACAAAGGGACACGCACCAACACCACCCATTGCACATCAGCTCTGGACAGGGGGCACTGAGGGGCCACTGGAACGTGCAAACAATCACTGCAAGAGGGGTTTCTTTTGCTAAGCCTTTGCTTGGGACACGGTTGAATACTTTGTCCCAGAGTAAATAACACCCCAAATCAACTCTGTTTACAAATATAGTAGCAACCCCCCCCCCCCCGAGGAAATCCAGAGTTCAGCATTTCAGAAGCACATATGCAAGATGAACACAATAAACTCCTGTTCGTTTGACAAAAAAACAACCCAATTCTGCCTAAACACGTGGCAGAATGTGCTAACAGTGAGTTTTGTTTTATTTTTAAGGGGCAGTGCCACTTACAGCTAATGCATATAAATGTGTACGTGAATATATTTTACATATATCTATATACATACAGTACATATACACACACACGCACGCGCACACACACACGGATGATGCAGACCATTACAATCCCATGGTGCAATAAACAGCCAGATATACAAAATTAACAGGTTTTCATCAAACAGATCTTTGCTGGATGTAGAAGTCACTCACAAAAACAAAACAGATTCAAACCCCGACCCAGCTGGCTGAACGAGAGCCCCCCCCTGCAGCAAACAGAGACCTGGGGGCAGCTCAGGGCTGGCCCCAGCATCCTACAAGCCCCTGCTGGGGGGTGACAGTCACCCTTAGAGACCTTTTCTTTTGTCTTTGGATGCAGTAACTTTCTCCTAACCATCCCGAGCCTCTTGCTACAAGCACTTGGAGAGTGCGTGGGAACGGCACTGCTGGGCACATGGGGAATGTCCCTCCCCTCATTTGCCAATGCCAATCTCACAGAAGCAATCCCAAGGGAAGGTGGTGGAGGGGGCATCAAATTAAAGCTGCTTTCTCTAATACAGGTTGACCAACGAAGCAGGTTTTTTCTATCAAAAAGGGCCCATCTCACTTTTTTCTTCCTTGTCTCTGAAGCTCATATTACATTTTTCAAAGGCAAACTTTAGAACAAGTCATAAAATAAGGTGAGTCTATGCCAATAGCAATTTACAAAATGCAAATTCTGCATTAATTGCATGGAGCCAGCCCCAAAGACCAGCACTTCAAGCACTGTCATCATCTAAACAGTTAACAAGCTAAAGCTCCCAATCTGCCCCTTTGAACAAACAGGAAGGAACTGAAAAGATTTCAAGAAAGATTTTTTTTCCCCCCCATTCGGTGGAAAGTATTTCTGCCCACAGAATGCAAGATTCACAAAAATGTTGGCCAAACTTCACGTAACCCCGTCCAAAGCTGCTGCTCACGCAGGGCTAAACTGGCCCAGCCTCTTGAGGAACAGGCCAGTGCTTCTTTGGGCTGGTCCTTCCCTTCTCCCAGCTGCTCATGTGCCAAGGGAAACAAGGGGATCAGCAGTGCAAGTTCCCTTCCCATACAGAAAGGGCAGCAGCTCCTCAAGGACTTGTACCAATTCCCTAAACCTCTCCTGCATGTGCATTTAGGGAGAGTAAAACTGGTTATTCTAAAGGGAAGGGTCTGCTCTGGCATCTCCTCTTATTTTGTGATTCCAGGCAGAGATTTCTGCTTCATGGTCTGTCTCCTGCTTCATCAAACTACAACCAGAGGGATGCTTTAGGGTGCTGATCCTTCTTCTCCACTAAAACTATTTGCTTTGAATGCTGAATTTGAGCAAGCCTGACCCCCTCCCCTCACAGCATTTTCGTTCTTTGGGAATGTTATTTTGATTCTGCTATTGCAAGAGCAGAGATTGCAAATCAACTATAAGGAAACTACACATAAGGAAACTTGATTTTAAACATGATCTAAACTAAACAACCCAAAACCCATCATAGTGCTTTGTAAAACTGCATTTTGAACCTGTCTGTCTCTTAACCCCTCCTGATTCACAAGCAGTACCTGTTTCATGTCTGCACAATGCAGCAAGCATACAAGACTCACTAACATTTCAGATTTTTATTCCCTGTTAGTGTAACAAAAAATAAAAAATAAACAGACATTCAAAAACAGAAGCGAGATTGTTCAAGTACCAAATAAGGGGCTTTTCCAAACTTAAAGTGTGACACTCCTATAGCAATTCTGCTGTTTTAAACAGCCACAGCGTTCAGTTACAGACATGGTGCCACCTAATCCTGCAGGAGAGCCCTGGATTTGGGGCAACCAAGACCCTCATCCTTCTCCTGTCCTCCCCAAAACAGCACTAAGTGTCAACATTCATTTCCACAGTCCCATCACAGTTGCCTGGCTTTTTTTTGCCCTGCTGTGACTAGAGTTCAGCTGTGATTAAATGCAAGTTTTTTCCTGGGAATGGCTTTTGGTTGTGGAAGTCTTGCCAACACTAGTGTCAGCGAGAAAAAAATCAGGCCCATCACATTAAATGGAAAACTTCTTGAACATCTGCCACCTCAAGAGAGATGAGTGTGGAAAGAGCATTTTTGGCATAAGACAAAGGGCTATTCTGGATATAACTCTAGATTGCAACTACCAGTGATGCAAAGCAGCAGCTCACTTCACTGATGAGGATGAAATTAAAACCCAAAGACTACCCCCAAAACTAGAGCACTCCAGTATCAGAAGGTTGACAATTGCACATTACTGCTTCACACACTAGAGAAGCATCTGTTGGGACATCCTTCTTGTTTCTAGGTTGCTTCTTCCCATGCTCAGATTACTTGTAATCAACAAACTAACTAGTGGGAAAAAGATTTATAACTTTCTAACTTCAAAAACATGGCACTCGTGGCTGATACAATGGAGCCAATGGCAACTGTGGAAGCAGACCTGATTTCCATCCATACCAATACAAAATACTGAAACACCCCTAATTCCCTGCAAATATACTTCAAAACAGATTAGAAGAAACTGTGCATATTCGAGTTTCAACAACCCCTCCCCCCTCCCCTATTTAACACTGTGCAAAAGTTATTTATTTAACTCTACATATATATTTAATACAATATGGGTCAGTGAGATCAATGTTCCTTTAACTGCAGCCTGGTACCAGATGGCTGCTACAACAGTGAGGCTACTTCCCCCTTTCCTCCTGATGTTATGACTCTTAAAATTAAAACCTTCTCACATCTTACTGTTTTAAAAGAACTTGAATTTCTTTGTTTTGCCTCTTTGTTCACATTTCCTGTATTTGTTTCAGGCTTAACAGCTGCTTTTCATCCTGGGGTGTAATCCTGCACCTCACAGGCCCATTTCTGATTTCTCAGTCATGCAAGTGTAGAGCAGCTCCTGGAAGCTGTGGGTTCTCTCACAGATCTAATGCTACTGAGCAAACAGAATTAGGCCAAGCACAATGAGACGTGCAGGACCAAGCCCTTGCCCCATAGATCACACCAGCTACACGTGTCACTTGATTTTATAACAATTTTCATTTTCTCTGTGAGTGCAAAATAGTTGCAGGAAGAATCTGTGCAGTAGCACGTGCGAGTCAATGGGGAACGATGGCAGCAGCTGGGACTTCAGGTGCCTAAACCACACACAGGGAGAGACAGTGGCAAAACAGCCTCAGGGACTTCTCAGAATAATGGAGCCAGTACAAGGAATGCGGGCTTGGTCTGCAGGGCCCATAGCCCTGCTCTAAAAGTTTGGGCAAAACAGAACTTCAAAGAACACTTCAGGATGGCTTATTGGCTCTGGCTCCATCATTCACAGCAAAAACATCACCTGTGATCAGCAAAAAGAGCTCGGGGAGCAAAGGGCCAAGAGTCCCAACTCACTCACACCACGATAAAGCCAAGCTACCTTCACAGATGCTAATGGAATTACACTGTATTTACCTTGGCAGAGCCAGGGCTGGAGCCTGGACCAGACCTCACAGGATCAATCAGATTCCACTACAGGGAGACTTCAGACAGCCCTGCTCTGCTATCCTGCTGCTGTCAGGACTGTGAGGGTGTTCCAGGATTTATAAGTAGATCTGTGCCTGTTTAAAACAAATCTGAGCCCTACCTGAAACTGGGGCAGACGTGAAACAACTTTAGCCAGGTTACCTTTGTTACAAAAGCAGGGATCAGAAATACAGGTCTCATCAGCCTCAAATGTCAGTAAGAGAGTGCAGAGAGGTCAAAAGGGCAGGGAAAAATCAGACACTCTGCTCACACTGGTTCTTCTATAGGTATGAGGCACCTGGCTATCATTTGTGCCTTTGAACTGATTTCTTTCATTGAGCATTTGGTCTCAGCCCAGCATCAAGGGAATGCTAGATGCCTGAGAGGTGTGAGAATGGCAGCTGTACAGCTACCAGATTAGAACTACAAATTAGCCAAGAAAAAAATTCCATGTCCACAGACCACTGAGGAAACCATTCAAGATTTCCACTAACAGCAAAGGCTATGTCTCATTTTTCCTTTTTTCCTGGGGAACTATAAGGGACACACAAACAGATGTGGTTAATTTTGACATAGCAGCTCATGTAAATTTTATTCTTCTCTCACACAGTTTTGAGTTTTGGTTAAGCTTTATAGGGTACCATCTAAATAAGAAAAGTGGCATCTACAGAATTCCTTGCCTGAAGATTGCACTCTGGCCAATTAGGAAGTATCTGGGATGTGTCAGGGTCATTAGTGCAAAATAAAAAATGTCATGGCATGCCAGGCAACCAGACTACCCTTCCTGCAATGGCTGTCAGTGCTCCAGCCTTGTCACTTCCCTACTTGCAATTCAAGACATTCAGTGAAATAATACTTCTAGTGTAAACAATATACATCAACAAGCCTGGCACTACTGCCCAGGCATTACAGAAAAAAGCCATTTGAACAGGAAATCAGCCTCAGGGTCAGAAACGGGTCTCCAGCATTCTCAGACCTGCATGACTGTCTGCTTCCTGTCCTGCACAATGGGTGCATTGCAAGGGAAACGCTTCCAGTAATGGGAACAAAAGTAACTTTCAAGGTTGCACACTGAACAATTACTTTGCCAGTTGTGCTTTGATGCCAAGTGGTTCAGTTTGCCAAACTTAGCTCTTTTTCATTTTAGAAGCTTAAGGAATGGAAATAAGCTGCTTTGTACGCTTTCCAGGGAGGGGATTTATTTGATGATTGCTGTAGTTGATGAAGCCCAGGACTACCCGCTCGAGTATTTGACAGCAGCCCTTGCCAAAGGATGGTACCAGACATCCAGTAACTGAGGAGTATGGCTCTCATCCCTTCCTGTGTTTTGCATCATGTCTAAAATAACTACAAGGGAATTTAGATTATACCAGAGTAAAATCTTGCTTGGCTGCAGTGGTGTGAGAGTTCAGAACCCAGCTCACAAAGAACAAACCAGAGGAGATCTAGGATTAGGCATGCTCACTTCTTACAACCGGGAGTAACTGTACCCCACCAAAGAATTGGGTACAATAAGCCATCCAGGAGCATTTGATTACACTGACCTCTTCTGTACCAAAATCAAGTGTTACAAGAGTCTGTCACTGTTCAGCAAGAGACCTGCAGCAGGTCAGTGCAAGCTTCATTCTGGTTTACATTCTGAAGCACAGTATCATTAAAACATTGGAAACAGAATCCCAAGCTGAGGAACAGCTTGGAGAGGGGGTGAAGAAAGAGGAGAGTAAGCAATTACATCAGATCAGACAAATTTAGTGTTTTGAAACCAGACAATGTTTAGCTTTTCCTTTTATTTGTTTCAAGTTTTGGTGCAGAAAGTATGTGCGGATGCTAATGCAACCTCCCCTGCAAGTGCTCAATGTAGCAACGAACAAAGTTTTGGCATGTTCAGTTTGGTTATGTTTCCTTTAAGCGAAGACCTGTAGTGCCATTGAAACCAAAACTTTGTTACTGTTGGCAAAAAAATAAAGCAACTTTCCTTTTACAAGCATTTTTCCATTTAAATAAAAACCTGAAGCTTTCCCATAATTCCTTTGGTCTTCTCTCACCAAATTCCACGCTACCTCAAGACAAACCCTCTTTTGGAAGTCCGGCTGAATCGCAGTGAAGCTGCTAAAATTAGCAGAGAAGAATTGCTGTGGCAGAGTTTCCCCCTAGTTTGCTGGGAGTTTAAGACTGAAAGACATTACCAGTGCCTCAGGTAGAGGCTTCAAATTGTTTCTACTAGAACAAGAGAAAACAAAATCCAATTAGAAGTTCCACTGAAGGTGCCTGGCAAAAAATCATCTCCATAAAATGATGCTCTGCTTCCAGTATTTTCGTATGCCTTGCGTTGAGTTTATTCCCCTCATAAGGAAACAAAAGTATCGGTGTAAAAGCACAGCTGAGCTTTTAAGGTAGCACCAGGACACCTACACCCACGTTGTCATCTTGTTGCTGCTAGGCCTCTTTTTGATTCACATTCACAGAATCACTTCTTGTGCAAAACAAGCAGTCTAAGGAGAAAGAATGCCCTCCAAGTTCTAATAAAAATTGTAGAAAAGAATCCAAGATAAGCCAACGCTTTCCTCCTCCCCAAAATTTACCTGCAGAGAGAGGGGGGCATCTGTGCGTAGACAGGATAGGCAAGCCTGACATTTAGGGAATCATTGTGTTGGACAAGGGATGTCTGCTGGTAATGAAGAACCAAATCCTTAAGTGTGCTGTACAGGTTGTATGGTTCTGCAAACCCATAACCTCTTGGAGTGCTGTAGATCACACAGTGTTTCACCTCTCCATCAGCTCTGCAAGGAAAGGAAAGAGGAGAGTTTAAAAAAGGACAAACCCAAAGTGACAGTCTATTAACAATTAACTAATGCAGCATCTCTGCCAGTCACTGGATTACATAATGGAAGACCTGGTAGATGTAAGTGGAGGAGATTAATATAGTCTGTGAAGAAACAGGGCTTCAGGGCATGTGATTAAACACTCTTGCATAATAATTCTCATAAGAGGGCTCTTCCATCCTAGCAGTACAATTCCCTACTGCATTGTTCTCCAAATGGTCCTTGGGAAAAAAGTCAATAACTGAACCAGCAAGATAAGCACCCAAAATCAGCAATGACTTTGTGCTCAACACACCTAGAAACCTTTCCACTAAGCAAAGAAACCAAAACCCACAAATTATCAGGACCTACAAAGTATTCCATGAAACACAGTGGCTAAACTTCAATGTGCATTTTTTAATGTTAAGCATGGGACAGGTTCAAGCTGATTCATTATCTGAAGCCATAGCGACCGAGTCTCTAACTTGGCAAAGCATCTACCAGAGCACAGTGATTCCAAAGTGGCTAGAAAAATTATCTGCCAGAGAGATCAGGTATTATGTAATCCTTGTCCTGGAGCCTGTTACATTCCCAGTCGCATGTAGGAACAGGTTACTTTGTGCCACCCCTTTTCGAGCCTGTAGCATGATCCCAACCAAACAAAAGCATCTGATGAACCCAACACTTAAGAGACTGCAATGAACAGAACAGTGAACACAGCAGGTACTACAGTCTTCAGTTACCTTGAGGTGCTAAACCTTCATATATTCATTTCTCAGACTTGTGCTCAGAAGCAATTAACCTCGTGTGAAATAAATCAGTGAAAGCCATTTTGGACTCCAGGACAAGCTTGAAGGATTTTTAGATAATTAAGCTGGAGTATTTCTGACCTTCATTACACCAGCATAAAACGAAGTGAAATACAAGAAATCAATGCAAGGCTGTGTGAATGTCATCACAACTACTGCTCACAAATAATCCTCTGAAGCATCACTATTACCTTACACATACAAGAAAAAGATCCAGAGCTGGATATGTCTGAAAATGAGAATAGAGGATGCCATACCTTTACAAGCCTGCTTTACTTCTTCCCATGTGTCCCTTAGCAGGGAAAAATATGGGAGAATTAGGCCATAACATAGGCCCTTACTACAGAGTTTCAAGTTGGGATACTTCAGAATTTTGTATTAAGTACTGTGGGAACTGCAGGGGCTGCAGGACTACAGTTATTGCACATTCAAAGCACCTTTTTGTTACAAAGCTTTTCCCATGCCGGTCTTCCTGCAAACATGCAACACATTCCAATGGATAGGCCTAAGCTGGGCCTGGCTTTTGTTCTCCAAAATTAAGAGCTTTGGTAGAGATTTATGATTTGAGTAGTTAGAATGAAAAGGAAAACAGACTTACACCACAGAACAAGCATAACATCCTTTCTTGCTACTCTCACGAATTAAAAATGCTCCGTCAGGTTTCCCACAGAGCAAGTCTTCCGCTTGGACACGGTTGAGATCCCCAACAAACCAAGTTTTCTCATCATGATGTGGCAGGTTTTCATCTTCTTCGTTCACAAAGTAAGTGCTGAGAGAATACATTTGTTAACCAGTGATCAGTAAAAGAGTTAATAAGTAGAGTTATTTTCACAGAAATCATACAAAGAAATACCAGAATTGCTCAAATTGGAAGGCCAGGCTCCTAACAAACATGTATATTCAAGGCTTCCACTTAGATCTTAATTTTAATCGTACGTGTTTCAGCAGAGTTGCTGCCTCACATGACATCACACGACTCCAGTCATTTATTGAGAAACTGGTGTTTTTTGTTACCAGCCCCACAAGAGAAGACACTTACTAATGGAACACTTCTCAATAAAATCATATGTATAGTGACACTTACTCATCAATATTTTCATTTTTGATCCCCAGCCAGTCATTTATTCGCTTCTGTCTCACCCCCTTGTGATTGAGCCATCTGCCAGAAGAAGAGAAGATTAATACATCAGAGCACATGTATGGGTTTTCTTAGTGAGCAAGCTGAACTTCAGACACAGAAGAAACAGTCTGTGTCCAGCCCAGGGACATCAGGAGCTGGATAAGGGTGGTGAAATCAAGCATGGGTATAAGAAACATCTGAGACACCTAACAGAAAAGAAGTATTACCATCTGTTGTATTAGCAACCAGAGGTTTTGTTTATAACTATTTTTTAAAAAATTCTTTATTTACAGGAGTTGCAGATTGTGTACCTAGTTGTGGCTGGCTCTTTAAATAATGAAGTCATGAATAGGCCAACCAGTTCTCAGACATCCCCTGCCAGAGTGTAGGACCTGAACATCCATAGAACATTGGTTATGAAAAGAAAATTAAACTATCATTATCCTGATGGAAACATCCATTAATCAGATTCATCAGAGACATTATTCTGAGGTATGGGTCAGGCTTACTTACACAAGATACTGATCTCTGATTTTGCGGAGCTGAATTAGGTCAGGCTTGATACTGTTCATTTTCTTATCAGTCTCCCTGTTGTCCAGAGCTTGTTTCTTCAAGTCTTGTTCCAGGCGCATTTTACTGTCATGGATCTCACCCAGGCGTGATTTTAATTTTTCGTAGTTCATCATTATCCTGCAAATGAGTATGAGAGAAGAGGTGAAACCAGCCCAGAAGGACTGAACCTACTAGCAGCACTTACAGAAGTGTATCCCAGAACTACCATAACAGCAACTCCACCCTTTGACCACCTCAGCCTTACACGAAAATTACTATATGAGTGACAGGAAAGACCTCTTGCCAGAGGGCCTGCAACCTTCAGTTTGCCTTAATATATTTCCTTCTGGCAGAGATGCAGGAAGAAATTCTCTGTAGGAAGGTAAGCTAGAACAGATTCCTCCTTCACTGTCAGATTCAGTTTTTGTTGTATCAATTATGTGAGCCCACCACAGGTATCAGTAATAGCAAGATTTTAAATGCAAACTTTAATTACTATCAAGAGCTACCAGGAAGTAATGCTGCCTGGCTCTTCATCCAAGATTAGTTTGCAGGTTTTGTGTGACTCAGGAAAATTACATCTTTTGCTTGTTAATTGTCTTTACACAGAATGAAGCACCCCAAGTGCATAGTGAAATTGTTACAGGTAACTGTTTCTGCTCCAAAAACCTCCTTAAGGTGGCTCATAAAGCACAATGTCAAGTGAGGCATTATGCCTGGCCTTTCTTTAAGGTCCAGATCCAGCTTTTTCTGCTAACACCCTCTTGGAAAGGCAGTTTCAAACAATGCACTCACTGAATTTGTTAGATGACAGCTACTAAACATCTTCTCTGAAAGTGACTAAAACTGACTACAGACAATGAGATTTACCAGATTAATGTATATTCCACAGTTTGCAAGTACAGAGTTCTCTGAATTATATTCTAAGCAAATGTAAATAGAAATGGGATAAGCAAATTAAATAATTATTTCCTGTTCTTTCCTGGTCCTTATCATGGTAACTTGATTTACTGAAGTTAAGAGAGGATAATCCAGAGATTTCCCAGCTCTGCAATTCCTTGAGAGAAGAGAGCTTTACTGAAGGCTGAGATACCTTGAGGGAAGGTCTCAGAAAACACTGAGCTTACAAAGTGGTTTATATGATACTGTAATGGCAGTGTCAGTGTGGACACCACTTTTTCCAGGTAAGCAAACATAACCTGAGAGCTCACCGCTCAATTTCTTTGTCGTTGCCCTCCCTGCGGAATCGCTCGATGTATTCTTTGCTGTATCGCTCTTGTGAGTGGCACTGCTCCTCAAATATCTTAATTGTTTCATTAAATGCTTCGATTGCAGTTCTCTTCATCTGAATTTCCTGTGTAAGGAAAGAGTCCTTCATCATTTGTTCATAATACAGATGACAATGCAAGACTCGATTACGTTCCCTGAACTGACTGAGAAGATAACATTTTTTCCCGCACTAAGTTAAAATAGGATTAATTAACTTTAAATTCAGTCAAATGTCTGAGTAGGGTCAGGAAATAACTGGGCAGACTTACTCCCTGTAAGTCTACCCTCCTCCCCTACATGATGCTCTCTATTAGGCTGCAAACCCCTCAAACATTTTAGTCATATTTTCCATCTTAGTTTGCAGGAAGACTGCCAGCAAACCTCCTCCCCATATATGAACTATCTTATTTTACAAGAAGCAGTCCAAATACCGTATTCACACGTCCTTAATGCATAATATCTGGTAACTGACTTGCACATGATTTCACAAAAAACCTGGAAAAACCCCTCTACAACTCTCACTGCAGCATGTGGCAGCTGGAAATACTCAGCAGCCAAGGAAGAAACTGCAGTGTAAAGTTTCTAAGTATTGGCCTTCTCCACAGTTTTACCTTATACTAAAAAGTTCAGCTCCTCTTTCTTCCTTGTCCCACACCATACCTCTAGGACTATCAGCAGCAAACAATATTCCCTGTTTCCATCAAATATGAGACTTCTTGCTGTATTCCCCAATTTACTTTTTCCTTATATTCCTTTATTAGCCTTAACAGGTTAAAATAAATTTCTTTGCTTTTTAAACAACAATAAACACACTCTATAAAGAGCCAAAGCACACCAACCTGGGATGTTCTGGTATATTCTTCATACAATTTGTCATATTCTTTGCTCTTTTCCTGATACTGAGCATGGTATTCTTGAAGCTTTTTACCTACTGCATCTATATTATCTTCTTTCACCAGCTGATCCTGCACATACAAAGAGCTGTTAAGTTTTCAAGCAAAGCAGCTTTTCCTTAAGAGTATCATTTGTCCACTTATGCATATTTGCATTTTACAGATATTAGCATCATTTTTTATAATCCAGTTTCTAGAGTGCACTGTGTCTAAATCTGCCTTCCTTTGTGCAACATGTTCCACAGTTTACAGACACAAGGAACAGGGACTATGGGACACCAAGAACCATTCCAAAAACACACCACACCTTACTTTCAGGATTGCTATCCCCAGTTCAAGAAAGAAGGAAGCAAATTGCTTAAACTCTTCAGTTAAAGATCAGAGTTGTTTTGTTTTTTTTTTCATTTTCTAAAAAGCTCTGCAGTTCTTTTTCCTTAATGTAAAAATGTGTTTTGGGCTACTGAATAAAAGTTTAAAAAATATACTTGAAAAATTTAGATGACTATGCACAGGGTAAGCAGCTGCACTGCTAATATGGGTAGCACTGGCTACAACAGCACTCAGTGGGTTCACAAGGGTTCATTGAGAAATTATAGAGTTTCTCAGAGTTTCAACTCTGCTGCCTGTCAAGGTTTAAATTCTCTGTTGTGATCAGATGAAGACTGGAAACCTGATAAAATGTAGCAGCTTGGATGGTTAGACAACTTGGAAGATGCAAGTCAGGCCAAATGTGAAAATTCACCTTTTTTTCCCCATTTTCAAAAAAAACAATCAAACAAAACAAACAAAAACACACACACACACACAAAAAAAACCAAACCAAATCATGCTATTCATAGAGAAACCCCAAAATGATATATACATCTGCTTTTTTTCCTTGTCTGCACTAAAGCCACTGAGGTTTGGTGAAGCTCTTACCTGCTGGTACCGGGACACGGGGTACATCAACTTCACATCGAGCTTGGGGTTGTACTGAGCAAGGGACTCGTTACGGTAGTGGTTAATGAGCTCCACAACGGAATTAAATGTCAGTGGATCAGAAAAGCCGTATTTTCCATCCCGGTGATAGATCTTTATCAGTTTGTTGTTGCCACCCTTCCTGTAAAGTACAGTCATTCAGAGGTTTTACTCTGTCCCTCCCATCCCTCATCAGCTCTAAGGCTGATGACACCAGTGAAATCCCTGGGCCAGTGGCTCCCACACTGCACACCTTCACAGTGATTCTTAACACAGCAGTAGTATTAAGTAGTTTAAGAGTCAATACACACAGAATTATCATCAGATTATTTGAACAGAAGCAAAGCCCAAAGTAAATCTCATCCTATGTGTTCATTCTGGAGCTAGTTTATGGTATTTCAGTCCTAGCTTTACCAGAGTTTTGCAAGGGAAAAGGAGAATGCTGAAGGCTGAATCGAGGACCTGCAAGAAACCCCAAACCCATAATTTGACCCTGCAATTCAGGGTCACTAGTAGTATACAACAGAATACAGATTTACACAATTATTAATAAATCTTTTTGAGTTATGGGTAGTAATACAAGACACATGAATTTACAAAATCCTTTGAGGATTACAAGATGGTTGTAAATGTAGTTATCCAGATTTATATATTCTAGTGTTTCCCCAAATATAGTGCTTATTTCTTCCTTTTGTTCCAAGAACAGGCTGTTTAGACACTGTTCTGTCCTTCTCTTGCACTTACAATTTTGCCTCCTAAAGACAAAAATTCAGTAGAATTCAGTAAATTAACCAAATAATGCCAAATAGCATACAGGCCGTGAATTTGGAGGCAGAAGTTAAAGGAGAATTTTAACTACACCCTTGGGATCAAACCTACCACTATGGCAATGGAATTTCAAGGCAGGATCAAGTACCTGTGTATCACAGTAACTCCCAAGGGTGTGCTACAAAGGCTGTGGCTTCTGTGCCGCACATGCTTGTCCCTAACAATCAACCTTGGGAGCCTGTCAGAGGCAAGTGGCTGGGCAGGCTGGGCAAGGCACCAGAGCAGTCACATGAGGTTTCTGCCTAACTGCAGCAGACAGGGCTGGGGCAGCTCTGGGAAACCTGCCATGCGCAGACACGAAGAAAAGAACATGGTTCCAAATCAATATTCCCTAAATTTTAGATCAGAAAGCACAAGATACTCTTTTTAGCAAGACATTGTTCAGTTCTCCAGAGCTGCACACTGATGAGGTATTCAACACTCTCCCATGAACCAAAGGCTTGGTTTACAAACACCTTTTACCTTTACCTTAGCAATTCTGAAACCATGAAGTACTCCTGAGCAGCTCTCCTCCCTGAGTCCATCTCATCTACACAGAGATCCTCAGGGTAGCACTCAGTGAGGGACACAACTCAATGCACAGAGCAGAACTGACTGTCAGAAATGGCTCTTTATTTGTCTGTTCTGTGATGTGCAGAACTGGGAACATCTCTCAGCTTGAGCCACATGAGCTTTACACAGCCAGGGCTGTCACTGGAATGGCAACAGCTCCTCAGGGTTTTGCTGAGGAGACCACAAGTGCTCAGTGCTCACCGCAGTGTCAGAGTGTAGTCTCCCTGCATCTTGGTCGATGCGTCGCGCACCAGGAATGTTCCATCTGGCATGTCTCGTAATTTGTCATTGACCTCTTCCCTGGAGAATGGAAAGGGAGGCAAAATTAGAAGTGCTAAGGACATGACCACCTTTACCACAGGTGAAACATCTGACCCAGCAACACCAGTGCCTGCAGAGTTTAATCTTCTGTCACGCTCAGGCTCTCCAGTTTTTTAGGCCACCTAAAGCAAGCCTCAACTTGTGTAGCTGTGCTAAAGAAAAGTAGCTGCAGTCAACAGCCACTTAGGAAGGAGTCTCTGTTTAAACAACAGTAGCAGCTGTGACTCAGTTCACAACCTTTCCCTTTAATCTGCTCAGGTTTTAAAGTCCACACTGGAACAGGTGCCCTTTGAGAAGCCAGTCCTGACCTCTTAAGACCTGGTCTCTAGAATCACAGCTCAAAGGTGCCTAAGGTTTAGCACAGTTTTAGTCTCAAGAGGCTCATTATTGGCTTAACTCTGATCTTATTTACAGCCCTTTTAAACCACTACAACCTTGCTAGCTTCAGTGCAACTTTTCCTTATTTACAACTGAGGCAGAAGGATACTCAGTCCAGAGCTGTAAGCTAAACCAAGAAATCTTTTAGCGAAAGTGAGTACCTGTAGGCATTAAGAAAATTATTTCAGCTGAAGAGATATGCATCTTACTTATGAGCATTTTACCCAGATTATGTATCTCACTTTATAACAGCTCTCTCAAAAGTTTTGGAAGCCCTAAGCACTTTTTAATATAATCATTTGGAAACAAAAGTTTTTCAAGTAGCCTCAACATTTTTTAGGTGCTGTAGGAAGCCTGGCTGAATCTTACAAAGAAAAATAAACAGCAGGTTTTTTTGTTCAAATACTAAGGAACAAAAGTATTCAGAAGAACAACAAAAGAATAGCCTTAGCTTTGATTTAGCTACCTGAAAACTATTTTGTTAGTAAAACAGACTCCTACTGAGTATCACATGCTCATATCCATTTACTCCTCTCAGACCATTTTACAGATTGGACCCAGTTAAGTCCTTTTTGAATGGCCAGATAATGACCTACAGGTTTGGGCCTGCAAGTTGCACCCTGGAGCTCATGACAGAATTTTCAGCACAAGTTCTTGACTGAAGAACATTGCTCCTGCCCTGCTAGCCTGATGCAGCCTGTAGCTGCTGGCTGCCAAACCAGTGTCATAAACAATTCCATCTTTACATAAGCGTGTATCAAGTTTAAATCTAATAAAGCCAGTCCAATGCGATTTGCAGTGCATTAGCTCCTGCCATCATGGGCACTGGTAATTGAGGGACAAATCCACAGTCAATAAACTGATACCAATATTGAGCAGTTTTAAACAAACTGTGCCTAGTGGGTTTTGTGTTCAGGTTTTTCCACTCTGCTTCAGCTTAAAATTAACAGAAAAATATCTCTGCCAAGGCCCTTCAAAAGCAAGATCTATGAGGGTTTGCATTATAAACAGATAAGGGTGGTACAATAAAGATATGAAAACTTTATTTCCCCTCTCAGAACATCAGTGAGCTCATGTGGCAAACACACTCTTCATGCCTCTATTTGCCAAAGTGCTTCAAAGTATTATGTGCACAAGTTTGAGCAATTCCTGATCACACTCCCAGCACATTCACCTGTCCTCTTACAGCTCCAAATTCTAGACTCTTCAAAAGTGCCTTAAGAGGGTAAGAGATGACTGAACATTTCAGTTCTTTTATGTAATTAAGTATATAAAAACAGGCCTTTCATTTTCTGAACCTAGCCTAAGCAATCTATTTTCTCAAGTGCACAGGAAAGGGTTTTCTTAAGAGGCAAAACTTAATTTGTTTGGTATGTGTCTCTATCATCTGCTCAGTATAGCTAGATGATGGTTAGCATTTGTAAGAGCTATTTTTCATATCACCATGTAGTAGAAATTAATATAGCTGAAATTTTAAACAAACGTTAAAGAAACCAAAAATAAGAATGCAACTCCTTTTATCCAGAAATACTATTTTTATACCAAAATTTTGCTGAACTGCATGAATTCCAGGATTACATGCTTACAACACTTTATTAAATATCAGATTCAGAAGCATTTATCTTCTTTTTAAAGACTGTATATACAGGCAAATTTAGAAACTCAAAAATTACTGTCACCAAGACTGGCAACATCTGCACTAGAAGAACTACAACTTAAATATCCTGAATCCAGCTGAGTACTTTCACTTAGGTGCTTTGCCAAGCATAGTCCTAAAGCATTCCCTTGCAGTGAAATGCTGCCTGAAATAGGCATGCTCTTTTTGTCTTGAATTCTAGCAGGCTTATCCTACTTTTGACAATATATATTAATACATTTTAATTAATATATTCTAACAATATTGCTTACCTTGAGATGTCCCCCCAGTACCACTCTGCTTCCTGCAGAGAGAAACTGGAATTGTCCTTTATTCCATTTGTATTGACTGGAGTCATTGGTTTGGAGGGCTTTGGAGGAAGAGCTGAAAAAGAAAAACAGATTTACAGAAGGTAATCAGGAGAAAATAATCACTAAACTCTTAATGAAATACTACAGAAAAAAAAAAAAAAGAGAAAATATGCATCTTGAGCTCAGCTTTCAAGCTCTCTCAAACCAAATGGAACTTGTAATCTTAAAGGAAGTCTGAAGTCAACTGTTCCACTGTGATCTGAGATTTTTTAGTATCAAACACTTGAGGGAGGAGAAAAGTAAGGAGTATGAGGAAATGCGAGTTTTTGTTAAAAGAAGACTGGTGCAGGCACGACTACAAGGGCAGGTGCCGCCTAAAGCTCCAAACAAATGACAAAGGTGTATTGTGTTTGAAAGCCACAGCCTGGAGAGCACTGGGCACCACTATGGAAAAACTCCAGTTGCTCAGGCACCAGCAGCTCTGAAGCCAGCCCACAAGAGCAAACAGGTGAACTCTTCAGAGGGAAAAACACTGCTGGAGAATGGTGGTGGCTGGACAGGGCTGTCTCTGTCACAGACCCAAGGTTCACGTTTTACACTGGGTTTGTCACTTAGGCTCCTGTTTGGAACAAAGGCTTTGACTCTTTGAGTAGTACAGGACATGAGGTGATAAGGGAAGAGGACAGGGAACAATAGATAACAGAGTGCCTGCACTGCTTTGCTGACGTGCAGGCTGAAGTGTTCACCACAGGAAAGGGGATGCTACAGATGCCCAACAGACAGGCAGAACTGCACACCTGCATGGCTGGTGCATGCCTGCCCAGAATTCCCCTATCCTGAATTCATGGCAAACATGAATGGCTTTTACTTCCATTCTCAAAATAGGTTACACAACGTAAGGGCATACAAGATACCAATGCTGTTTCTGTTTGGCCAGTTTTTGCTCAAACAACTTTATCATGAAGCTGACTGTAAGCCCTGAATCAGTAATTCAGGAGCCACAGGCACATTCACGTATTGGTAGAAACTGGTCTGTGAGCAGAAATGTATTATACATGTTCTTATTTTCTTAGGGGAAGGGTGTCCTGAATGCTGTCCCCTGTTTTGCAAAGACTGGATGCTTCATCAGGAACACTGACACTGAAAATGAGCATTTTTTAGGCATTTCATGAGAGTGTTTTACAGAGGGACAGGTCACATTCACATTCAGAGAAAGAAAGCAGCTACACACATTGATTTGCTAGCATGCTTCTAAGTCAGACCCTGAACATCTGCTCCCAGCCCTGTGCCCTCACCATTAGATTACACAAGCACCAGAGAGCAGGCCTGACACAGTGACAACAGGCATCTTTCAGATGCACAATCCCCATGTACACACAGAAACACAAATAAAAGCAGCAGAAAGAAGATTTTGATCTCCAGGTTCAGCATGGAATGGCTTACACTGAGAGGTGTGCTACTTGGCACCATCCAGCTGCTCACCTCTGAGCCACACCTCCCACATTAAAGAAGAGAAAACAGGCTTCCAACTGCAGTTCCAAATACCATTTCATGCTGAATATCCAACACAGTAACTTCACTGTTCTCTGACAAACCAGTAGATGCTTTAATTGAGCCAATCTAAACTAAATCTGAACCTTGACCCAGACGTTTGCACCCTGGGGTTGCTGACCAAACACCTGATTCAGATAGCAGCATTCATTCTGTGGGACCGAGCATTAAACTGTAGCATACAGGTTCTTTTTATGGGGTGAGCTGGGAACTTTCAGGTGTGCACACATCTAGTGAGGCAATAACAGGTCTTGTTGTAAAAGGAAGGTGAAAGCCTTCAGATTCAGTGAAGTACCTTCCTGGTTAGGAAGCTTCAGTTATTCCTAGCTTAACTACTACAGTTGTTTGTGTAGTGCACAAGTATTTGCACAAAGCACCATTGAGAGTAAGACATGGCTCCAACAGCCCCATCCAGGGTCAGAGGAACACATACCCAGGCTAAACCTCTGGAATAAATTGCATTCACTGGGCTGTTCCATCTCCCCCTTTCAAAGTTCCTGAATTAAGAAATGTCATCAGGTCCTCCCTGCTCCCAACATCACATCTGGGACAGGACAGCTATAGCAGTTCTGAGTCTCATCAGTGTCACAGTAAATCTGAGGTCAGAAAACCCATAGATTTGCTCCAGAATCTTTTGTAGGCTTTGAGTCATCAAAAAGCATATTAAGTTTTATATAAAAAACACACAAAAGTACAGACAGAAAACTGCACCAGCATCTGCAATTATTTCAAAGGGACCTTCAAATTAAGGCCTGGACATAACAACAACTTCAAGGTATTTTACAGTGTAAAAAGTCTGTTTTACACTGGTAGTATGGGTTTTCCAGAAGGGGTTTTCAAGTGTTCTCAAGGACACTTAAATACTTCTCTAGCTCTCCTTGTAAATTTACGTCTTGCTCCTTTATACAGTGTGGGATTATTTGGCAGCTTTGTTAGGGCTCACTCCAAAGCACTGGGTACAGAAAAGCAAACTAACCAAGACCAGAAAGGTAAGGAATGGGAGTTTGGATTCAGAGCACTAGACATTACACCCAGTGCCCCTACTACAGGTGGGAGTTTCTCCTTTGCCTTAATAGGCAGATATCAGTTCTCACTATCGGGACGTTGCCTACAGAACTTCATTCTTCATGAGAAAACTGGAAGGAAATTCTTTCAGGGAAAAGAATAAGGCTTGGACCAGTTCCTGTAAAACCTGACTCATGGAAGCCAGTCCTTTACACAATAGACTTTTGAAAAATGCTTTATAATAGCTTGCACATTTTAAAAATACAAAACTATTTGCAAGGGTGGATCCTGTTTCCAGAGAGCTATGTATCTAACTCTTTACTTTCAATGCTTCAAGCTCTTTGAGTCATAATAGATTTTCCCCTGTACTGGATACAGAACCAGGCCCTTGCTCTTGCTTTACCCTATAGGCCAACATGCCAATCCATTTCAGCATTTCTTGGCTACCCTCTCAGGCCATAGACTTTAGTCTGTACAAATGGACAACACTCACAAAGGTAGTTTAAAAACCTCACAGCCCAGCCCCTGTGATGACAAAGGGGAATATTTTGTAATGGCATGGCAAGTCTACTGCAACAGAGCAGCATCCACCACACTGCTGCTCTCATAATGCTGGCCCAAGAGGTTGCTAGAAGAGGCATCCTTAAGAAGTTTTTGCTTAGTACCTAGATGATACTAACAACCCTGCTAGGAGAAATCCTGTGCTGTTTCTGTGAGAAGCTACAGAGAGACTCAAAGAGTCCACAGATTTTGATTTTAAATTCAAGACAATCCAATTTTATATACCTTACTTAATGAACATTAGAGATCTAAAATCTTAAAGTAAGGTAAGACTGGCTTGAAGTCAACAGAAATGCTTTCAAGAGCAGCCATGTTTCTTTCTATGTCACTGAGTCCAATTCTGATCTAGCCACAGGCACAATTTTACTTTATCTCAAAACCAGCTCTGATTAAAATGAATGATCCTGATGGTTTCTTGCCTCTTTTTTCCTGGGAGAGAAACACTGATCACAAGTGATTAACAGCACAACAGATCTATCCATTCTAATAAAGAATTTTCTCTTTGCACCAGATACACAAGCATCCTTCCCCTACCATGTCACTAGGACAGCTTTAGAGCACAGATCTTTCCAAACCCCAAAAGGTGACAGCTCAGTTGTACCCTTCACTCCCACACGAGAACATTTCAAAGATCAGGTTCAGCCCTCAGTGACCGCCTGGCAATAAGAGCAGACTGGCTCTCCCTCATTCATTCATGGGCATATCTGGTTTTAATTTCTTTAGCAACTCTAGTTCCCTTTCTAGCTTTCCCAAGGAGACTAGCTTGAGCTAAATCCCAATCCCAGCTCAGTGTCACTTAGAAGGGGAAATAAAAATGAGCTGGTGATGGACAGAGGGATGGCAGCCAATGCGTGCCGGGCGTGGGATCGGATGTTGCTGACGTCAGGCCCTGAAGGCTGCTGTGCCATTTCCAGCAGGTACCTTCAGCTGAGCTGCTCCCACAGCTGCTGAGCAGAGTCTTGGAGAGACAAGCCCATGGCCTGGGCTCTGCCAAAGGTAGTTTTGGGATGCTTTCTTGACTGTGCAGAATTGTTTTTTGTAAAGGTGACTCGTGACTATAGCTGCGTTGACTCTCTGAAATTCAAAGCGCCTCCAACACCCAGGCAGGCAGGAGAGCTGGCAAGTGTCTGAAGTCCAACGCCGCTGTCTTTCTTTTAAAGTCTCTCGTAAAAAATCGTGGGCTATATTGGTCCTGAACTTAACTGCAGGGAAGTAGGCCGTGACTTCAATGAGATATACACATTCCCCAGTCAGGTTTTGAATAAAGAATTTTATAAGTTTAAATGATCTAAGAGCCACCGAGTCCTGTGTGTGAGGGTTTTCAATGGCACTGATTCAGGATTAAAAAAGAAAAATGCCTCAGTTATCCAAGTGCTATATCCCATGCAGTACCCAGTCAAGCAGGCTGTTTCTTCTCTGGCTAAAGTATTTGCATACAAAATTAACCTGCCAGTTAATTAAACTCCAATTTTCACTTTTAAGGCAGATGCTACTTAGTCTAAGAATGGTCCCACAATTTATTTCTTCCAGTATTTTCCAAGAGCTTCAAACCAGATACTTAAGAGCATAGCAGGTTTAAATGCAGCATTACATCTACCTTACTGTTACAAATAATCACAACTACCAAGTACTCTGATAAAGTCAATTTTAAGTCCCTCAGCACTTTCATGGGCTTGTTTACTAGCCTTCTTTCTGATGCTCTCAATCTACTCTCTCTCTACATTGTGACAAGCAGAAAACAGATCAGAGGATTTCCAAGACAGTTACTCAGCTTCAAAAAGGCTGATGTACAGTAGATACCCTGCAAAGTGTAATATAAAGCTCTACAAAGTGTCATTGCTATGGAAACATGCAAGTAATCTGTGGTTAGGCCAGCTAACATTTTAATGACATAGTCCTCGAGGAGAGAAGGGTTTTCCCTTTGGAGATATAGATGAAGACTTGGAATGAAAATGT